AACAAACTCGGCATTTTCGCTTGCCAGAGACACGTCTCCTTATTCCCTACACCGAAAAGTTTTAACAAATGATGAAGTCTGTTTTGCACTGTCCTTGTCAGCTATAATAATCCTACGTGAATAAAGTCCGGTAAGCCACATTCAGCCGCCACACTCTACTGGTGCCCCCCGACAGTAACTTGGCAACATGAAGGCAGAACCAAACGCTCTACTGGTACCTCCTGACGGTAACTAGGTAACATGAAGTCAGAACCAAACGCTCTACTGGTGCCCCCCGACAGTAACTAGGTAACATGAAGTCAGAACCAAACGCTCTACTGGTGCCCCCCGACAGTAACTGGGTAACATAAAGTCAGAACCAAACGCTCTACTGGTGCCTTCCGCCGGTAACTAGGTAACATGAAGTCAGAACCAAACGCTCTACTGGTGCCCCCCCCCCCCTCCCCTCCCCCCCCCCACCCCCGGGCGGTAACTAGGTAACATGAAGTCAGAACCAAACGCTCTACTGGTGCCCACCAACGGTAACTAGATAACATGAAGTCAGAACCAAACGCTCTACTGGTATCTCCTGACGGTAACTAGATAATATGAAGTCAGACCCAAACGCTCTACTGGTGCCTCCTGATGGTAACTACGTAACATGAAGTCAGAACTAGACAGGAAATATATACAATTAGGATTCAAAATAATGGCTAAAGTATCGGTGACTGCAGTCCAGATAACTGCAACAAGTAGTTACCCCACACAACACAGACTGGAGGTTTAAATTAGAGATGATTGACTAAACTGCTTCTCTCCTTTATCGTGATCTCTGTGAAAACTACTGGGCACCATCTGAGAGCATAGCACAAATCACGAACGCTGTACCTTCAGCAATGATCTCAGGGGATGCTCGTATCATTAGCACTCGTGAACTAAACGATGTTGCTCATGAAACGAACCCGCGACTTGACCTCTTAGCCAAGGAGACACCCCAAGACTGGAGAGCCCAGCGTAAGAGACAGAAATAACAAGCACAAATACCTCGGGATTAAATAAGATTAATTAATTACACCTTATAATTGTAGATCTGGAGGTCAGAAGTGGCATAACATTTCAGTAATGTTTAAAAACCCAACCTTCTTGGTTTTTTTTTTTTTTTTTAACATTTGCATAAAACAACGCGTTAGGGGCGACAAAACAAGGAAAACTTGCAAGAAGACGCAGCATCCATACAAGTTTTCCGGGGAGGGAGTTAAAGAACCGTACGTCTTGTTTATGTTTGTAATAATAACAATGTAATGATGACAAGTAAATAATATGAAATATGTCAAGATATATATATATATATATATATATATATATATATATATATATATATATATATATATATATATATATATATATATATATATAATTTTTTTTTTTTTTTTTTTTTTTTTTAAACAACTATGCATTGTTTAAAACGTTAAAATAAAATCTTCAGCTGGAGTTTCCAGTGACTGCGCTAGCCATGCGGATCTGCACCATAGGTCAGGATCCCATATGCTCTTGACTTCGAAGCATTCTTGATGACTTGAGACTTGGGACTCTCCTTGCACCTCAAGGATGACGATCAGTCTAACGTTTTGCCCTGCACCAGCGCGCCCCATAAACCGCACAAAGAAGTGGTCAACACTGGCAGCAGTACAGGCAGTTCCTGTACAGTTTCCAAGACATGGCTTTCCTGGCTCATCAGAACATACAGTTCGCTGGCTTCTAGCTTGTCCGATCCTTACACAATGATAATTACAAACAACTGTATTGTTGTTGCATAAAATAAAATACTGCGACTTGATGTCAAGATTTGAGCACTATTTACAACAACGTTATGTCGTATTCCTTTTCACTCTTTGGACGCATCGGCATATGGGAAGAGCACCCCACATAATTAAAGACCAATTGGCACTAGGTGGGTGTCACGAGACGACCTCAGTGGTTCCAGAAGTTAGTACTCGTAATAAGTTCTTCTGGTTATTGGTAATACTTTAAAACAAATTGATTTAAATGTTTCCAGTCCTTAGTCCAGACAAAGCGACTGAGTCTTGGGTAATATTACCTAAAACTTTACACTGTAGCTAGGAATTCTATTCTCATGTGTCAGTGTCAGAATGTTATCTCCTGACCACAGACTGTAAAGGCCAGCGAACGGGGAACTTAGCATCACACCTGAGATTAGCTTCCCTGAGCTGGACCGTAGGTCGTAAAGGTTACCTAACACAGACTTTTGATGAGACTAGATCAGAGGAACTGAGAGTGGACTAGTGGAGATTGTGGCGACCAGAGGCTGGAGTTCGCACATCAGTGTAATTCTCCGGAGAACAGGTGTTTGCCAGTTAGGTATGTTTGATCTTGGTCAAGTAGGAAACACAATGGCTTCACTGACCGTCTTTTAACACCCGCCAGTTAGATTCGTTGTAAACTAGATTGGGTCACTTAAGAATGTTCGCTCTAGGGATGTCAGTCCAGAATTGACTGACAGGCCACTTGTTAGCTAATTTGATCTGATAGGTACTTCAGAGGCGTGGCTTAAGTCATCGTCTTGAGGGTTGGGTAGAAGCGAGTAAAGTGAGGAGTTTAACCTTTGAGACAGTTAGATTGTATGCTTCGAGCCTTTGGAATTCCCGTCACATCGCAGCTAGCAAGCAACAAACACAGGTCGACGTGAAGGTAATTTCACGGTCGGATTCTGGTTTGGCGATTGATGGAAAGTTCCCAGGTGAATATTAATTTTAATCTTGTATACGTAGGTTAGGGAGTTAAGCTTAGTCTATACTACCTTTGCCTAATTTGTCTACACATTCTGCTTGAAATAGTTCTTTGTGAGTATTCAGTATCTCAGTTAGGGAACTGCTAAACTATTCCTATTTCTTGTATGTTTGTGTCACATATTTTTCAGTGTATGTTTTCATGTGTATAAAATAAGATGTGAACAATGACATTTGCTATAATGAAATGTAATTATATTGTTTCCATAATCAGCCAAAATATGAGTTGGGACTGGGGGAAATGATGCCAAAATATGTGCAGGGATGCTGCTACGTTTTGTGTGCCCACCATGTGCTCACTTAATGTTTTCACCTAAACAGGGGATTTATAACCCCAGGGGAAGAATGATGGGTGTATAGAATTCACTGCCACTGAAAGATAATATTCAGGACAGCGTGCACCTATAAAGTGTTGGATTTTTCAGCACATAACCTGCTCCACGTGGTCATGTAATATCAATGTCAGCCAGTTGCAAGTCTGAGTGATGACGGACAACAGACTTAGAAAGTCAACTATCATGACATAGCATGAAGAGGGAAGGCAGGATATGTGACGTCCATGTAAGACCAAAGACCTTCAGACTAGACTGGAGAGGATGTGGAATATGAGGAGGAGTGATGGGGTATATTTTATTATTATATGTTACAATAATTGATACATGTATTCTAAGTGTAAGTCAAGATACTACACGTATGTGTTTGTTTCCATGATTACAGCGCCCATGTGACGATCAGTCCATGAAAGAGACTACATTGTGTTAGACTCGGCCAGCTGGGAACGAGATGGAGAACGATGTGAAGAACGAGGTGGGGATGAAGTGGAGAATAAGCTGAAACAGGCAGAAAACAGGCAAGGAAGAGTTGGACAAGCTTGACAGTTCCTCACGGCTGTCAGAGGCTTATAAGTTAAGTTAACATCTTTTAAGTTAACATATCACCATCATCACACCACTCTAAACCCCGGAGCTGTTTTCTCGCTGAAGCTGTCACTATCATCACCTTAACTAGTCACTATTTGTGTAAATCAACAAACTGGGAAGTTCATTGTTAGTAAATAAAGCTGTATGTCAAGTTTTATCCTGCATCAGTTTTTGTAATTCCAAATGTCTGTTCTTACATGTTTAATTAAACTGTTAAGATAGAATACCATTTGGTGGGAGCTCAATTAATATGATAATTCTTTAATTATTCATAATAACACCGGGAGAAGGTAGAAGACGGAGGAATCATTTGCCCTGTCTAATAATTCATTCAGTATAATGCTATAGACATCTAAAATTCCTTTCCTTCTCTTGTGGGTACCAAGTTCAGCTAATGTTAATGTACTTAACGAGCCAATATGGCTGTTTTCTTGGATATCCAGGACTTTGTCTGAGAGCAACATAGCTCAGATTTTAGTTCGGTTAACCTGGTGGAGGAAATGTGTTGAAAGGAAAATCTCTACTCAACATTATAAACATTTAATCCACCGCGTCACGTCACAGTGGGTAATGTTTTCAGTATTACGTCGGCCGTCTTTACTTACCCAGGACATCCATACTGGTACACATGTTAGGCTGGGTCGACCTGCGACGCCCCATACCATGATAAATATCCACGCAGCCAGCAGTGGGTTTCGATCGCGGTACGTTGGAATTACGAGTCACGGACGCCACAAAACCGTTATGATAATCCTTAAAAACATCAAAACTGATCACACACATCTACTTAAACACGACTTAATTATGTCACTAAATTGTACAATGCTATTTCTCTAAGTTAACAACTTCTTGACTTGTTCAGTCTAGGAAAATCACAAATAACTGGATTCTTGTTATTTGAAACAAGTACTGGCTACTTGACATAAATAGATGACCAAAATGTTCTTCTTCGTCTTTTTATTTTTCTTCTCCTCCGCCTATGTCTTCTTATTCGTCGTTGTCTTCTACTTTTTCGTTTACTTCTTCTCTTCCGTCTATTACCCCTTCCTCCTCATCCCCCCCCCCCCCAAATACCTCAAGCTAAGTCGTCGTATTTGTTAATGTCACATACAGCTCTCTTCCATTCTCTCGTCATCTTTACTTCCCCACTTGACTCTCTTTTTAGCTTCTTATTGTACATTTGACCTGCCTTTACCCCTTTAACCATGTTGGTCTCAGCGGAAGCAATTCAAACTATAATGTTATCGATTTACTAACAAAATTAAATGCAGTTGTATCTCCTGAAAGCAAAAGTTCACGGGGATTCATGTAAATGATACATCCTGTAGATATAAGAGAGCTCCCGGCAATCTAAACTTGTAACAACAAAGCCACAAGGATGCTCTCTGAGCAAAGTCGGGTCCCTCAGTTCTACATGGTTAGGGTAAGCAGTACATTTATCATATTCGTAAATCCTTTTAGCAATCGCCAAAGCGTTACCAGGAATCGGTACTCGTAGTCCCTCAAAGATACCTGTGCGTAATGGAAAGACGTCCGTCCTTGGGTATATGAAAGTGTTGCGAATATAGTACGTTAATGACCATACGTAGCTCTCATCCATTTGGTAGAAGAATATGTCAACAAACGGATAATCGGACCCAGAATAATGAAACTTCCAATGAAGATGTGGCCGTATTGTCAACTCGAAGCCTTGGACACACGATAGCGTCTGCTTGATGATATCCAAATGTTGGAAGCTCACGGCTATATCAAGATCATCATCCCAGGGGATCATACCGCGGTGGCGCATTATCCCTAACAAAGAACCACCGACTAAGAAGTGCTCCACATTCACATCCGATAACACCTCGCTGAGCACAGAGTATAAGCACAACATTTGGATTTTCTGTTCCATGTTTAGAAACGGCAAAAATCTGCCGTGCTGTCTTTGCAATATCTCCCAAGTCAAGCTTGCATTCTCTGTATGCGAACATGGTAAAATCCTAGAAGTATTTACATCACTTTTAGAAACTCTGGGTGACTGGTGCTCGTAGCAAGCCACAATCTGATAAACTCCATCAGGAATTATTTCTTTAGAATAGTGTATCTGAAGCAAGTTGGACGTTGGTATTTCTTTCCAAGCGTATTCAATAGCCGAAGAAAACACCACATTCCGTACGGGTATCACAAACACGCAGCATATTAGAGCCACTAGTATACAGAACAACAAGAATGCAATACGCATCCTTGCAAAACAAATCCTCCGATACAACGACGAAGTCATTGGAAACATTATTTAAAAGTTGTCATACTAAGGCTTGTTACAGATACACCCTAATTCCTTAGACAACACTTCGACAAGTGTTAGGGTAGTTTCATTATTATAATGCGCTGGTCTGGGTTTAAAAAAAAAATTTTGTCAAGTGCAAAAATGAAACCTCACTTGCACAGTCCGTGGCGATAGCACTGGTCATGCAGCCATAATAATTCTCGGGCTCAAAGATCCGTCTGCATACACAGCAAAAGTGGTAATTGCAGATAGCTTTTTGTCGTTCTGACAGTTTCTGGCAGGCCTAAGCCAAATTCTGCGGCTTGTGAACGCAGTTTTATGATTTTAACGTCACGTGAATTTGCAGTAGATCTCTCTGTGTTGATTTAAATAACGATACAAGCGTCGACCGTTGGCGGGCGATGGAAAACAACTAGAAGCAAAATATTCTTAAAACCTCAGTCAACAAATGCTGGTATTGGCTTTCTGAGTAGCTGAGAAGTTTCAGTTGTGTCCTGGTGTTTCCTCGTATATCAGGAACCACTTCTTCGTCTCTTAATCTCACATGTAAAGACAGCAGTCTGTAGGTTTCATCCTCATAAGATCTCGTGGTCTTTGGAATAGAAAAACATGGTGAAGCTACCATCAGGGGTGGCAACAGACCTGGCCCTGTGGAGAGAAGAAGGAGTAATAATGAATGTGGGTAAATTAATGACTAGATATTGCAATATGAAACAAAGCATGCATTGTATACACTTATACGTACAACAGACAGACAGACAGACAGACAGACAGACAGACAGACAGACAGACAGACAGACAGACAGACAGACAGACAGACAGACAGACAGACAGACAGACAGACAGACAGACAGACAGACAGACAGACAGACAGACAGACAGACAGACAGACAGACAGACAGACAGACAGACAGACAGACAGACAGACAGACAGACAGACGTGCATACACACACACACGCTCGTGCGCGTATGAACACGCACACACAGACACCATCCATCCACAAATTCTATCCATCCATCTATGCACGCACGCACAGACAGACATTCAGACAGACAGACAGACAGACAGACAGACAGACAGACAGACAGACAGACAGACAGACAGACAGACAGACAGACAGACAGACAGACAGACAGACAGACAGACAGACAGACAGACAGACAGACAGACAGACAGACAGACAGACAGACAGACAGACAGACAGACAGACAGACAGACAGACAGACAGACAAGCACCCACACACATACATACATACATATACAGGAGAACAGAGACACGGGGACATCAGCTGACAGAGGCGAATGGAGAAACAGATATATCTGGTAATAGAGGTGAATGGAGAAACAGGAATATCCGGTAACAGAGACGAATTAGAAACAGGAATATCCGGTAACAGAGCCGAATACAGAAATAGGAATATCCGGTAACAGAGACGAATGGAGAAACATGAATTTCCGGTAACAGAGACGAATGGAGAAACAGGAATATCCGGTAACAGAGACGAATGGAGAAACAGGAATATCCGGTAACAGAGACGAATGGAGAAACAGGAATATCTGGTAACAGAGACGAATGGAGAAATAGGAATATCCGGTAACAGAGGGGAGTTTAGAAAGAAGACCGTCAGTGTTTGTTGCAGATCAGATTCTTCAGCAACCTACTACCAACTTGCAGACATTTTTTTTGTTTTTTTGGTCAAAGAGTACAGAATGGAGCACATCAGACCTCGAACATTCTGCTTTTGGAATTGGCAAGTCACCAAAAAAATAGATGTAGAACTAGTCGTCTTTATAATCGCGAACAAGAAAATGAGCTTTGCTTCAATCTCTAACGGAAAGTAACAGTAAGAACAAAGATACAATTAGAAAGAAACATAAAACCCATCAAATCTTTCTGCTTATCTTATCTCTTTCAGGCTCCTAGGTCGACCCAGCATTAAAAAGGAACTACGTGACCCAACAAATGCCAACTGGTATAGCCCTTTGTGTCTAATACGCCATAATGCGTGAAAAATTGTAATTTACCTTACTGATTTGTAAATGAACAAATGCCTAAACGGAACTTGCGTACCTCGAAGTAAGAGAGTCAATTAGCCCTTGGGCAAACTTATGGAGCTGGATGGCGGCCCTCACCTCCAATCCCCTTCTCCCACCTTCACGCTTCAGGTGTGACGGAGATTCCAGATTCAAGATGTCGACTGTGTTAGCCCTAAATTCTCAGACTCAAGAAAATATTTGTGCCACTTCACTGCAGTCTCCTGCGCAACACGATAAGGTTCTGGTATTTTACCAGAGCTATAAAATGTACTATATTTACCTATATGGACTCGTGTGAACAGCCTGTCATGGTTCAGGTAGCATAGAGCGAATAGAGGGGTAGGGAGCATGAGGAAGGGAACAGCGATAAAGAAGAAAATCCCTGCAGACAGGATCTCAGAGTTTGTGAGAAGACGCACGATAAATGCAAGCGACTATAAGTAATGATCCAGAAATTATATGCTCTCATTGTGGAGGACTTGATTTAACACGGGCGGGTTTTACTAACCACATTCTCTATCCCATGGAATCTGGCTCCTATGCTTCCCGATAGCACAATTGACTTTCGGCTAAAAGGGGCGATAGCCGGCTGACCAGTGACGCTCTGAAAAATTGTTTGTTTTCAGCAAGATTTTGCTGATGCGAATTCCCCATTTCTGAACCAGAAGGCAACAGTTTCAGAGGCCCAGCTACTGAATGATTGCTTGTTACGACACTGTGAGCAGTGAATGTCACGCTGAATTTATTTTTCTTTTGTACTAGCGGCATACTCTCGACTGCACTAAAATGGAGGGTGCTGATTATGTTCATAAGGGTGTGTAATTTTATGGTGTGTAATTTTATGGTGTGTTATTTTACGGATGCAATGTCGGCTTTCGTGACTAACTGCGCCCAAATGTGAGCTGCAATTCTGCTGTGGTACTGGTTAGTGTTCATATCTGACAGCTGCCTTATGCATTTTTACTTTACGTGTGCAAGCTTCAATATTTCCCCGACAGCTTTTAATGAGGGACGGTGAAGGACATTTTATCTGACCTCCACTGGCACAGAAACGGAGCAGCTTTTGGGTGACCTGCCTGCACTGATGTTTGAACCTCGACTTACGACTAATCTGGTTAGTTGCGTATCCTTTACAGGACGTTGCAGAACACAAATTTACGTCCAGTAGTTTGCCATTGCTTCTAGACGGTCAGCTTTCTTGGCACCACTGTCGAAACCAACGCAAGGCGCATGGCCCGCAGCTGGGATCGAACCCGGCATCCCGGCATTACGATGTATGACTAATATACAGCAACATACAAAACAAGTGTCCAGGGCCATCTTAGCAGTACTATAGGTCCCGGGTAGCCACTTCCCAGAATGAAACATACATGGTCAATCATATCATTGATATATCTATATATTTTAAAGGCACTTCAATCAAGGAGAGAAAGAGAAAAGTTCGAACACAGTTAGATGGCAGAGCATGAAAATAATATGATCTTGTTAAAACAAGATTTACGGTTTTTCTTTTCACAGATGAGTCTTAAGTAAAGTCACTTCAAATATACAGATTATCATGGGGCCTCTCGGGCAAGTGCTCTGCGGACCCGTATATCGATACAGCCCGGTCCGTGCCTGGACAGATGAAACAGTGCCGATGGCGTTAATGATTATTAACTCTTTATATTCGGGACGATCGGAGCTGATGCGCCGGTGAGTCATCCCTTTCCATAGATAAATGTGCTTTTAAAACATTTTTAGCATGCCCCGACTCAAATTAAATCGCAAAAACATAATAATAATATGTTCAGTGGTGCATAAAGAGTAAATCCAATCACATACGGTGCGTTTTCTAGATCTGAAAGACTCAGCTATGACATCAGTCTCTTTAAAATGCATCGGCCTTGTAGCGCCAGGATTAATCATATATGGTCCTTCTCTGTCCGGACAGTGATTGCTTTATCATAGTAGAGCTTTGCGCGAAGCATGAACTCGTATCTCCAGCAACAGCCTCCAGCTATCTCCGTAACACCACAAGAGTGGTTGGAAATAATGGCCCCTTTTCCCATAAGTTTGCACAAGGGCTAAACGGCACCTTTAACCAGACATGAAAGCTCCTTTTAGCTATATGTTCATATAAAACAGTTAAATAAAGAACCTTTTCCCATGCTGTCAGGCTTATTTGCCATACATGGCTAGATATAACTTATGTAGTATTCGGTACATGATGTGTGATACATCGCCAAGGCTGTTTTTACATCTAATGACTTTTCCTGGTACCCATCTCATCTAGACAATACTAAATAGGCTTGGTGGCATGGGGTGAAGGAACTTCACCCCTGACCTTAACTGGTATCGCCATGGGCTGTGATATCTATGACTCCTTATGCCACAGTGGAACACTATCGTCTGGAATTATGAAAAGGAGCCAGCAACAACGACAGCATCAACAACAACATTAAATTAACATTATTATTAAAACTGAGCAGTTAACTCTTTTGGCTCATAAAGTTTCAAACCAAAATCATTTTTTTTTTTTCAATACACACTGACTCGAAAACACCAACGACTTGCTGTGTTGTGGGAATCAAAGATACCCATGTTGTTGCCAGATTTAGCTCGTATTCATTAATTAGTTGCGTATCCTTTACATGACGTTGCAGAACCAACCCCCAGCACTTTCTGGCTGTTGTGGTTTTTCTAGGCAAATTTACGTCCAGCAGTTTGTCATTGCCCCTGGACGGTCGGCTCTTGGTACCGCGGTCGAAACCACCGCAAGACAAACTGTCCGCAGCAGGGATCGAACCCGGCACCCCAACACTACGAAGCGCGTTCGCAACGCCTAAGCCACAGACGCCGACTTATCTCGTATACATTGAATAAATATTAAATATAAAACGACACTTGATTTGATGATTGAGATATGAAGGTAGAAGTCAGTAACACACCACGCATTGTTTGGGATAGAAGCAGTTAACAAGG